ATGCTTAGGTATTCACCTAAGCTCAAACAACAGTCAAACCGTAACAGAACCTGAGCTTTTTTTGAAACTGTTGCTTGGGCGTAGTCTTTAAGCCATTTTGCAGTCCAAGTCGAATTTTTATCAAATGTTCTGAAAGGTGGACGATTGCATGCCTTGAATTTTGTCACTTTATCTTCGTTTCTGATAAATCCGGGCGGAGCTTTTCCCTCTGCAAGATAGAAACACCCTTCTCCCGGATATGTAGTTCCACACAGATGGGGCCCTGGTTCATCTGACTGATATAATGTTTGATTTTGACAATAATTTGACAGATTTATGTTTATATTATCTGTTGAGCTTTGTTCACGACCCTACAGACTGGATGGAAAGGCTGAAGATTCAGTTTTTGAGTCAAACTTGTTTAGCTGCCAAAATTGACGAAATTCGATGAGAATGTCTAAATATTTTATGGATAACTTATTTGAGAGTTTCGAGATTTCCATTCTTTTACTTATCACCCATATTGGGAGAAGTGAGTTTGCCCTAGTAAGAAAATCTTGGGTTAATTTGTAGTCACTGAAATCAGCAACCTTTAATCTTTTTATCATTATTTCAAGGCGTTCCCATTGCATTATCCAAACGTCTACGTTTTTGTGTGTAGGTGGAATTCGGGTTTTAGCATAGTCGTCAATTAATCTTAGTTGTTGGATATCTCCTGCCGGCTTAGGCCTATTTTTGATCTAGTTGAGAACTTCACAGCATATCATGTTTCCAAATACTAACTTTCGGTGATTAACATGAAGAGAATCAACTATTTTTGCTCTCAATTCATCCATCAGCCTACAACCTTGTTTGTATGTTTGAATATCAACTCTGTAATGAGCATAATCTTCTCTGAAAATTAGCTTGTCTGGTCGTCCCCTTAATCAGCAAGTTTTTGTACCGTCGCAACATATTTTGAAAAGATAGGTTTCCTGTGCTCGAAATTTTGGATTCTACATGTAGGGTTGATGAACTGCCAAATGCCGTTATCGGTGGCATAACCTTCAACCATATCTATCCATTCGAGATATGTCTCCATTGTTAACGAAGCCATTTTTATTGCTGATATAGGATTCCTGAGGTGTAAAGCTAAGGAGAAAAATTGTTTAGCAAGTATGATTCAGATATAAACTTCAATGAGATATTGTATAAAAAAACCGGGCTCATAACTGTCAGGTAACTGGGAGCCTGACCTGTGACAGGCGAAGTGTATATAATTAAAAAAAAGATAACTCAGTAGAATCAACTTCATGCCTATTTCTCCCGGAATTCTAGGACTATGTACACTGGTCATGATCTCTTGATCTCTTGATCTCTAAATATAGACATGCGCTAGGAATAGAATAACCTGCGGTTCTATATACAGAATATAAGCACTGAGCGAAGCAAACAGCCCACGTACGTATGGACAGTTCTTATTTTGACCCTAGACATTTCTCGGTCCAACTTCTTCTGCAGTTATTCTTAGCCTTCGACACTCGATGTGTTTAGTATCGCTGTTGAATTTGCAATTAACTTACATGGTCCCACAGGTCCCCTCATTGGCTGATCAAATTTCTTGTTGGCGACTAGGAAAAATCCCTGATCGTTAGTGGTCGATAATATTTATGCCGTAGCTGTCGGAATAGTATCCCGATGAATCTTTACCGTTCGTTCCGCGGGCCCGACTTAGGCTTTCTAAATACTCTCTTTGTAGACTTGAAATGACCGATACGCAGCTTTTTACCATAAATGATGCTACTTACCGCAGTTAAAGCAGGAAACTCTTCTACTTGGGTAGCCCCACGTCTGATGAGAGCCAGCGCACTCACCAGACTGGGCTTTCTTTCCACGCAACACCTGCGTGTGTCCTCATTAGCTGCAGGTATAAAACTGCTTTACTTATACCTCGGGAGAGCAAGCTTGTGCCAAGTACAGAATGGTATTGAAGACAATGCAGTCTCTGACGATTTATTCTTGCAAGGCCTCTATGAGGCTCACAATTATCGACCCCCCTGTGCGACCATTCTTCATGGCCCGTTTGAGCTTCCTTCTGTCGTGCATTCATATTATTTTGCTTATGTGGAATCCTAAGATAAAAACTATTGTAGAAATTTCGATCTCCATAATCAGAGCTGTGTTTCTGGCTAAATTACCTCCCTTAATTTTTGACCGCAACGGAACTCCGCAAAACTTCACTGTAAGATCTTGCCGTAGAACCTTAAAGTCCTTAAGTTCTATTAAATTCGGAGTCGTATCTCTTTGGCCCGTCGATTGAACGAAAATCTTGGAGTAGTTGCTCAGCATCTTGCGTGATACGTCTGCCCTTGGAATATATCTTAGTGCGCTTATGAGTAGCTCATCTGGCCGCATGTATTTCGCCAACTCTATGTGTATTCTAACAGATTTTTTGGCCATTGGTAGCGCTGACAACTACTCACGTGTTTGTAAGGTCGGTGGCCCCTAGACTGATGTAGGAGCTGCCTTTCGAAAGAAATCCACCAGGCTCTTCTTGACTGCTTCCTTATGAGCTAAAGTATTTTCTCTAATGGGAGATTCAAATATTTTTATAACTTTCTCCTCCCTGTTGTGTATGTTAAAGGCGCTTACGGCCCTCTTAATATCCTCCGTGATGATGATGATGATTTCATCACCATTTTTCTTAAAGTAAAAAGTCCTAGGCTTTTTGTTGGAAATCTAGACTTCGTATGTATGAAGGTTTAGATTTCTACTTTGATCATCAAGATCAATTTACCTGTTTCTATTGCATACGATTAAGCTCAGCTAGGGGAAACGAGGTTCAGTAGTATCTGAAATGCAGTAGCTAGGAAATGATACCATGCGGTAATTGAGTGGCTGGTTGTAGCTAGATCACTGAGAGTTCGGGATCACTAAAGCCTCGGGAATCTGTATTTAAGGATTGGCTTATTTGTATATGTTAAACTAAGTTAACGGAGTATTATATATTATTAATACATATTGAGAAGAGAGTTCGATATCACATACAACTATCAATAAATTCTTGTCCGAAATTGTATACTTGTTCTTCGAGATATTTCCTCCTAGAAATCCTTGACAATTTCTAACACTTTTTGTATAGATTCCGTGAGAGTTCTATATTTCGATAGACGTGAACCGTTTGAACTCTCCAGTCTTAGTTTGTTTAAGAAATTTATGGGGGACTATTAACGGTTGCCAGTGGTGTCTCCTACGAACCTTCAGCCCTCACTACAGAGTCTGCAGAGCCGAGATTGAGTATCAACATCCTCACTTCGATGAGGATTCCCTGTCGCTTTTACGATCAGATGTTAGGGTCGAAGCCCTTCTCGTCACCAACCTTTGATCATGGAGGAGAAGCCATCCGATGAGTTTCCGGAGCGTACCCAGCAACCGATACTGCGATGGTGCATTGGATCAATTCGGCCTTGAATGTTACAAAGAAGGGAGATATAGACTAATATGCGCACCTCATGTGGTCCCGGTATCAAGGCCTCGCCAGGCTGAGGCCGCAGGTTTTTGAGACTTTTTCCCGCGCACGCAGTTTCCATTGCTACCATTTTTATTTTTTTGGATAGAAGGTTCCATGAAAAAGGTGGCCAAATTCCACGGATAAATACCGAGCTGAATGGCTATTCATCACGGGCAATATATCAATGATCTCTCAAGTAACAAAAGAGGATAGCAGCACTGTACAAGGTGTGGCCTGGGTCAGAGAGGAGCCAAATGTGCTAGATTGTCATAGACTCAAGTAGTATAATAAAAAACACACATATTCAATTGTCGCATTTCGCGACTCGTTGGTACGGCTGGAATCGACCATACCCACACCCATAATCGCCACGTTGTGGCAGAGAATATTTAGATGGATATGAGGTAAGTGTAAGGTAAAATCTTGTTTCATCAAGTCAGATTGATGGGAAATGCAGCATGGAGCCCTGGGCAGCTTTCTAGCAAAATGATATTCTTTAATCAAAGCTCGCATTTGTAGTCAAATTTCCGATGAAGCGGAATATCAACTAGGTAATATAGTAGATTTTTATGCATCCAATGATAGAGATGATCTTTCCTCTCAATCTCGAACTACCCAACAGTTGCCGTCGCTCTTAGTTTGTCCATAGTCCACAATGCATTGGAAATACATTGAGGTGTTATTCTTGTGCTAGGACAGGAAATCGGACCGCATCTACTTTCTGCATCATTTCATGTGGATGTTGCTTTCTAGCTATGATACATCATCACTGCAGTGTGTATGTGCTGGACAACTCTTCTGACTTTAGAGAAATTCATGCTCTAGTATTGATTCGCAGATACCACTACGAGGTATGTTTGCTTACATAAGTCGCCCCTCCTTCGTAATTACCTAACAGAAGTAAGTTTCCAAACCTTGCATTATCCAAGCATGCCTTGACCATCTAAACACTTTAGAATCGTGAGAAGTGTGGTCGAGCTTTGCTGGATTCCAACAAGCCATCTCTTGTCACAAGTGGGCTTGATGTCCGAGCTGTCGGGACTCTTTCTGAAGGACCAGCCCTATGACATACCACTGCATCAAATGACCACATGTAAACAAGGCTAGCTGGATAAACGCGCTAGGCTGCGGTCATTAGCGCTTAGACCTTCGTGCTCGCCTAGGAAAATGGCCGAGTGCGTGAAAATAATAGTGGGAAGGGTGGAATGATAGCAGCAGTCTGGAACCGTGTGGATTTATGAGGCGCCATAAAGAAAATATATTCGAGCCTACCCCTGCGCACCTCATATGATCCGCCACCATCCGTCTCTCTAACCTACTACCGGGCCAGACAGAAATCCGTCGGAATCTAAGCTCATGATTATGCTCACAAGCCACTCGAATTCATGAACCTCTCTTTACACTCGCCATACTCTCTGACGTGATGAGCTACCTTAACAATTTCTATGAGAGAACTATTAAACGCACTAGTATCTATCCTTCCTTCTACACAACCTAATCCACTCCATACCCCCGAAACAATGCCAGTATAATGGTCGGTCGTTCTTTCCTCGCTCCTGAAGATGCCATATACTTGGGTCATCAGCCTAGTCAGTCATCTTCGTCACTAAAAGCACGAAACGAGATATGCATGCCCCTTCATACCTCGGGAGAGAAAACCCAATCGAGGAGAGAAAGGCAAAAGCACCGGAATCGAAGTGGAAGCCGCAGACAAAAGAGCACCTGGAAGAAGCTTCTTTGGGTGAAACAATCTTGTGGGTCAAGCAAGCAGCCACTCTTTCACCGCTGCTAATTCGACCTAGACCCTGATAATTACACCGACCAAGAAACATTTCTTGAGCACCTACAGCGAAATCCGCGCTTGCAACCCTATGAATTTTGGCCGCTCGTCGCGGACTCGACAGTTATAGTTCAACATGTTTGCTCAGTGATTATCTTCATTGTATGTTTCATCAGTATCTTCCAGGAGCATATTTCGCCAATATCGGTCGTAGGCTGGGGTTCAATCGCCACATTTTTGGGTTGGGTCCTCTGGGATTCGTGGGTTGGATGTCAAGACCTAACCCCCAAACCAATAGCTCCTCCCACCTCCACTCATTCAGCCAGCGCTCCATCTTCAATAGTCAATCTCCCAAATACTCTTGCCAGAGGCCATTCTTACTCGCCACCTTCATCTTCCGTTGTATATGATGCCATCCGACCAAGTGGTATTTTGCCGCGTCACTCATACTCAGTTTCGACCTCTTCTATCAGCCTAGCAACTTCTGCAGCCACTCGCGTCTCAAGTATACCTATTCAACCTCAAACAAATCACTTCTATCAAAATAAAGTATCTCATCGTACATCAATGCGTCTCGGTACAATTAAGTCTGCCCTCCTCATTTACTTTGCCCTCTTAGGCCTCTCCCCGATCCTCAAATCATTGACCCGCTCGACATCCTCCGATTCTATCTGGGCTATGTCTTTCGCACTATTTACCATCAACATATTTTTCTTTGACTACGGTACTCTCGCGCCATCTACCTCCGGATCAGCGATAAAACAAAACAATATACCAGCCAGCTTATCAACAAATGCAGCTCTTATGGCTTCGACGGTTCTAGCCTCTAGGCTACCATCTACTGGACAGGTCTTTTCCCTGACCCTATTTTCTATTGAGGTATTCGGACTCTTTCCCGTGTTCCGTCGCTATCTCCGACAACGTTCCTGGCGAGGCCATGTTGTTTTAACAACCTTTCTCGTCTTGGGAGCTGGTGGCGGCGTTGGTCTTATACTTGGTCGTGGAGGAGATGGTGAAGGCTTTTGGGACTTTCCGTACAAGAGTGGGTGTATCGGGCTCGTTATTGGAGTTTTCCTGACTACTGTAGCCATGGGCGGGTGTAGTTGGTGGCTGATTGGCCTTCAAAAGTACAAAAATGCAATCCGGGGTCCCTGGGATCCAGCTCGCCCCGTAATCCGCCGCGCCTGGGAAGATGAATTTTGACTTAAACTGATGACCAATCTTGTGTAAAAGGTGTCCTACATAAACCCTACTTTTCTTATCCTTAGCATAATCTTTTAATAAATTAGTTAGAAACAATAGATCGCGGGGTTGTAGGAAATGGCAAATAGTACCATGACCCCTTCAGTTGGCTCATTTTATCCTGGCTATTAACCGTGCATTATCAATGTGAACAATGACCCAAGCTAAGGTACTGAATCATCAAGCTTCTGCCTCCACAATATCTTGGAACACGGATTGATACTGAAGGTTCGCCTATTTTCTCAGGTCTATCTATTTTGTATTTTCAATGAGCAGTATTTGATACATTCAATGTCTTTAGCGAAGTCAAGGGCTCTCTCCCATTTATTAAATTCACGTCATGCGCTCCAAAAATCCCATTTTACCGCTTTCCCAGGCACACTAAAACTAATGATTCCCCACTCCAGTTCAGGACTATAAACACTCTAAAAACGAATCAATCTTCGCCACTAACAACAGGGGTTGGCACTACTCTCTTTTGCTTCTTACTTCGGTCGACAGAGGCTGGAGGTGTATCAGTTTCATGCACAGTAGCATCTCGTTTGTGGCTGACATTATGACTGGTTGTACCATTCTTTACCTCGTGTCCGGAATTTACTGGTGAAGTCTGACCTACTAAGCTAGACGCTCTATTGTTCATATTTACAGGGGTGCTACTTTGCATTAGTGGAGGGAGTGAAGTTACAGAGCAGGAGCTATTTGAACGCGGTCGGTTGCTTAATTGTGACATAGAAGGGGTTACTTTTGTACGATGACCAATATTCGAGAAGGGTGATAATGGGGCTATTGACATGGGTGTCAACATAGGTGTTGTCTGTGAGTTGGACTGATGACTTTTGTAGTTGGGGATTTCACCAGAGTATTTTTCGCCTAATTCACCCGGTACGAACGTAAGAGTCGAGCAAAAGCCGTCTGAAGAAGTGATTAGAAGTATCAAGCCATCATTTGACCTATTTTGGTTAGCTGTGATAAGAAATGAATGAGTTGACGAACCAACTCAAGTCCGTAAAGGTTGCACAATGAAGATTTGACACAACACAAAGAGGAGTTTGCTGTTGCGTGTCATATAAATACACCGTATCTTCGGTAGCGACAGCATATATTATCCGATAGGGTATTGAAAAAGCCATGGGGGGGTCGCCAATCTCCTCTGCAGTCGATTCAGAAGATGGCTTTGATCCGGCAACATCGCCTGGGACTACAAGAGGAGGTGGCTCCATGACAGGAGTTGGAGACTTCGGAATAGCTGTAGTAGGTTCCGGAAGAGCAGCCATGTTTCCATCGGTGGAGGAAGTGTCCATACTTATATGTCTGGTCGGTGGTGTTGACTTGCGATGCTTGTAGAAAATTGGAGAACATTTAACCACTATTGAAGGTTTCTTGTGACCAGGTAGATGTGCAATTGGTGGTTTATTAATACCTCCTCTAGTATATATATATACGGTGTTGGTGGTCTCATAGGAATTCTTTGTACCTTCTGCACCTTTCACGAGAGACTGATACTGGCCAGCGGGGGTTAATAACAAGCTACCGTCAGGTGTAAATGTGAGTCGTCGGAAGAACGACTTGAGAGTGTCATTAGCGTAAATATTTGAGTTCCTGACACCCATACCCATAGCATATGTCTTTGGAGAAGCTTCCATGGGCATGACTGCTGGAAGGGGAATTGAGGGTGCCGGAGAGGCACTTCGTCTACCAGGAATATTAGGCAATACAGTACTGACGGATGAGCGTCTGCTTCGACTAATTGTACTCGGTGGGTTCATTGTAACCGCCATCGACGTCGGAGTACTTGGACAGGATGGAACAGGTGAGTTGGCTACTTCGAATGACGACATTTCTTTCCCATGTATCATATGAGAGCGGCAGCTTGGATCTGGGGGAGCAGGGCTATTAGATGGAATGCGTCGACCTGGTAAGTCCATCTTTAAATTGATACCAACTTTTCCAAGGCCTTTATCCGGATCATCACGACTGTCTAGAGTGTAGGAACCTTCTTTCGTTTTGAGGGTGTAAATATGGACGGATCGATCTGAAGATTGCGTTGCAATATACTCATTGAGTGGATCCCATGCAACACCTTGAACGTAGTGTTGATGTTCGGCAATTTGTCGCACGATATGACCTCCACCATATTAGCTTTGAGAAGGTCCCGTAAAATTGCCTCTTACCGGTTTGTGCATTGTAGATTCTAGCTACATTGTCCATACTACCAGTTAGAAAGTATAACCCATCGGGTGACCAAGCTAAATCATAGACTTCAGAGCCTCCTAATGTTCTGACCATAGTTTTGGTTCTCCAGCATTCCTTGTCCTCAATGCCTTCTTCACCGAATGCTGGTCTAGATAATCTTGTGTCCAAGATCCAAGTGATAACATTTCCATCATCACTAGCGGAGGCAAGAATATCACCTGAGTAGCGTCAGTGTCAGTTGAATCGCCCACTTGCGCTTGCAACCACACCTTTCGGAGCCCATCGCACTACATTAACGGCCTGAGTGTGTTTAGCCATGGTACATAGATACTCGACCTTTGTTTCTTCTCCATCTGATTCTAGCCCCCATAGCTAGATACAGGGTCAATTCGATTCAACAGGAATGAAAGGTTCGTCGTACCCGAACGTTGTTGTCTCCTCCACCCGTGGCCAAACGACCTTTTCCGCTGGGCTGGAAGTCTGCCGAGTAGATAGGAGCAGTCTCGGAGTGCCAGTTGACGATGATAGGGGAGGCCTTCATATTTTATGGTTTCAAGAGGAGCAGGGCGACCCTGCCGACAGTAGATGCGCTCACAGTAGTGATAAAAGTAGAAGTTGAGATAATCAAGTTGGACCAAGTGTGATAGCTTGAGGGAGAATTAAAGTATGGGGGCGAACTAGCGAAGAATTGGAGTATTGGACGAGTGATTATTTTACTGGGGAGGTGGATACTTTCTGGATGGAAAATGGGTAAGAATGTTGGTGAAAGGCTAGATCTGACGGGGCACAGTTACTTCAAGGAATGGAGATGTTGGCTTGGGTGCACTAGAGCGCACCCTAACCCATTGGTTAGCAATATATTTCCGATTTCTGATGAGGTCAGTCAAAATTTATCCTCGCCAGAACCAGAGGTACAGCCAAACAGTGATGGAGCCAAGGAGTTCGTCACAAATGATCCTCATTTTCCATATTCTAAGAGATTGCCATTATGAATAGGGTTTTGAGTACAAACATCTAGGAGATCCTTGTGCTCACCTTAGTGGTAATCACGACGCGTTTGTTACGTGCATGCTTTGGTCTCCCTCGACTCGAGCTGCACTCGCCACCACCTCTCGTAGCCTGGACAGCCGATCGTCGTAAGGCGCTGATTTGCTGCCACGACGGGGTGCGCTGCACATAGTTATTTCCGTCGCATGAAAGCGACCGTAGCCTTCCCAACGCTCACGAGCAAACCTTATAGATTCGTCATTTTCCACCACTTTGTCGCCCAGCACCAGCATGAATATTACAGATAAGGGCATCGTCGATTCATGCGGAGTATGTTACGTGATCTTCAGTACTATTGACCGTATGAAGCTCCGAACTGACACAGTTTCATTAGAAGATCGAAAAAAATACTATGTTTCTTGCATATTAATAAGCGTAGAGTATCTCTGATACATTTCTTTGATACTTTTCCAAATATAGCCTCTAATAATGAGTCGTGTTCCGTAGACTCGATCGTCGGAATACTAGAAAAGCTAGCAATGTTGCTAGGCATAAGGTAGTGCATCTAATGACCCAACCACTCTGGTAGTGACAAATGAAGTATATTCGGAAATTAAAAATGTAATGAAGACAAACCCGAAGAGACGTTTTGCGTAGTGATTTCTCATGCAGTCTGTTTCTAATTTTCCCTTGGGAAGACAAACACTCAACATCCATCGGCGATTTCCTCCGAGCCTTTAGCCTCTATCGCAGAGTCCATAGAGCCAACTTAGAGACCCATACTTTTAAGTAGGCAAGGATATAGTATACGTATGTGCAATTGGAGTAAAATACCCATAGATGTTTGACTCTACAAAAAACCTTGTGACATATTTATTCCTATCAGTTAAATCATACAGATGATACATATAATCCGATAGGTATAGAATGGATACCTGATAGAGGTGGCTTGTAGAAGTGGCTTGTAGAAATCTAGGATTGAAATGCATTTTCTGAATCAAATCTATTGTGATTTCAAAAATTCGAATACATTGCCCATGGCAATGATTTATGACTTCCTACCAGTTCAAGATTTCTTCCCTAAATTGAACATTTCAGACCAAAGCTTTGCTAAGTCTACCAGCTCGACCCAGTATAACCTCATTTCAATCACACCTATGGCCTATAATAACATACCTACTGCGATTTGAATACTTTCAGGATGATAATATGTGTAAGTTGTTTATTGTACTACTTGAGTCTATGACTATATAACACATTGGGCTCCTCTCTGACCCAGGCCATACCATTTATAGTGAACCTTGCCTCTTATATTACTTGAGAGATCATTGATATATTGTCCGTGATGAATAGCCATTCAGCTCGGTATTTATCCGTGGAATTTGGCCACCTTTTTCATGGAACCTTCTATCCAAAAAAATAAAAATGGTAGCAATGGAAACTGCGTGCGCGGGAAAAAGTCTCAAAAACCTGCGGCCTCAGCCAGGCGAGGCCTTGATACCGGGACCACATGAGGTGCGCATATTAATCTATATCTCCCTTCTTTGTAACATTCAAGGCCGAATTGATCCAATGCACCATCGCAGTATCGGTTGCTGGGTACGCTCCGGAAACTCATCGGATGGCTTCTCCTCCATGATCAAGGGTTGGTGATGAGTAGGGCTTCGACCCTACCATTTGATCTGATTGTGGTGATAGGAGATTGTGTTTAGAGATGAATATGATACTGATCGCGAAAGTGATTGGGTATCCCTATCGAAGTGATGACAGTGTAACTCAATCTCGGCTCTGCAGACTCTACAGTGAGGGCTGGAGGTTTGTAGGAGACACCACTGGCAGCTGTTAATAGTCCCCTTAGAGAACCTCAATGATCTTATCATAATGCGAGATTGAGCCAATAACTTTTCACTACCTATCCAATTTCTGCAGATCCCGGCACCTGGAGAGCGATCAAATTTTACCAAAGTATAAAATCTGGAGAGCAAAACTGAGTTCTCAAGACACATCATATTTTCTACATCACAACATCACAACTAGACAAGGACCCAAAGAAGTTTGGCATTGCAAATTCGCAGTGAACACATGGGGCTCAACTCGTATTTACACAAAAGAAAATTACCCGAAGTATTTAGTCCAGGTTGTTCATGTGCCTATCAATCCCAGAACCCCAAGCGTTTGATTATGTCATGCCCTGAATGGCCAAGTAGTAGAGGAGAGGCCTGCAGATCAGACAAAGATTGGTTCTACGAAGCTACCATTAATAATCCTCGCAACATCAAAAGTATTATATCAAAGATTCTAAATCATGGTTAGATGGAGCAATTCTACATTTAAAAGTCGGTCGAAAAAATAGAGGGAAAGGAGCGGATCGAGCAATTCTGGGGGTTAATAAAAGTGATGTGGTAAACTTACATGGATGGCACAACAGTGTAACTGCGCTTTGCTGATGAACATATGTGAAAATCAAAGACAATAAATAGAGAGAACTGCGGTTTTTACCACACAAGTTTCGCGCCATAAGATTATCATAGTTCATAGACACCTGTGTGGGGCCATGGGGCGTCAAATCAGATTAATGAAATCAAAATCAAAAATCTTAATATGTTTCTTATAGTTGGAGAATTAGAAGGAATCAACATAAATTTTAGCCACCGAGTATTGTCACTGCTATATCGAGCTTGTAATGTGAGTACCACTAGATTATTCCGACAATAAAATTTATCATGTCCGTTCTATATCTATATTGCCGCTATAACTCACTTGTGCTGGTTTTCTTCACCAACTCTTCGCTTGAAAGTTGAGATATATCCTTCTTTTATTGATTGTACGGTGTTCTAATTGCGGTGTTGACAGCTTTAATTCCACTCATCTGTTAATCGTGATTATCTTCCAAAAGAAAATCAAGATAATCAAAGAAACATTTTGGTTACGGGTTTTACCCGGCGTTGGGTGGCTGGGCTGGCTGACGGGCCCAGCCTTGCCTGTAAGTGGGATGTGGCAGATGGGTCTGGCTCTCGCACCAGGATCAGGGACTATCCTTCACACCTGTCAGATGTTTCCCACACGAACCTCCAGCTCGGAGTGCAAGACTGAACACCTGTACGCGGTGTCCACCACAAACCTGGGGGTGAAAAATTATTACAGAGCCAAATTAAGTCAAATTTCGCAATATCGAACAAGTTGGCCCACGAGGCAATGACTCAATTTTCTCCACCTCGTTAGATTTTCACTCCCAACGAGATCGAATCCTACCCAAGTCTCATCAAGTCTACAAGTACGACCTATTACATTTTCATCCCAATGACCACACCCTTGTCGACTCCCTCTGGCCTCAGATGGTCGCCAGATACACGCCCACGCCGATATTTACACCCGACGGAGGGAGAAAAGCGTGACATACAAATCTGGGAGAATGTTCTTTGAGATGGATGTGAGAGGGATCAGGACAGGTTGATAAGATGATCAGAAGATGGATACATTCTCGACGGTCGTGTGAATTTGAATTTTGGCAAGGAGTATCACGAATTGATCTTTGTGCGCGCCAAGACTTCGGTTGCGAGATTGCAGGCGACACTATGAACACCGCCATGGTTGGATGGTGCGATGGTACATCATCTTGGCCAGTTTCTCAAGTAAGGTCTGGATAGCTAGGACACATATCTCACTCTAGACAGTAGATCTCTGGTTAAAATCCGGCAAAACACAAACACTTTTCTCGCAGCGCTTGTATACACGGATAATCAAAGGTTTTGGCTTTACCTTCGGTGGGTAATTACGGAGAAGGGTTGACTGTGTAGGCGATCATACCTCATAGAGGTATTTGCGAATGAAATCCTGTCAAACATCTGGTAACTAAGAACCTACTGAATAAGGTAATGAGAATTATTGGATATTGGGATGACATATCTCGGATTAACTTACTCGAGCTTTGATATCTCACTAGGGATATGGTGATCAGGATGTTCAGGATGTTCAGATTAGTCAAAGCTCTAACTTGAGATCTTTTGATCTTCAACACATGTAATATATTTCATATGTAATTTTGGGAAACGAGGAGAAGATAATCTCTCCTCGAAATAGTTTCAGATGGGTATATAGCATCACTACTGGAGAGGAGTTGAGGAGCAGAGGTTTCATCAATACAACTTTACTTTATATTTTTCATTTGACCCTCAGTGTCTAACAAATCCAGAGTATGAGTGTCCCTAACGTCAATATATTATTATTATTATTATTATTATTATTATTATTATTATTATTATTATTATTATTTGATTTGATTTGATTTCATTTAGCCCGTTCGGGTACCCTATGGGCCCATGCAGGAATATCTAGCTATAATATTTACACAGGAGGAAACCATATTTGGTAAAAACCCCCCACAACTGTCTGTCTCGTGTCTATATGATTTCCGAGGTTTCCTACAGGAAGTGCGCTTACACTGTGCGTCCAGTGTGAATATCGTCCTATCCTTTTCCCGATCGCTCAATCCTTTCGCTGACTGCTGTCTCAACTTCTTCTGCAAGCCGGAACTGTTCAAGCCAGCCGTTTGTA